TATAAATGAAACTTCATAAATTCTTCAGCAATCACACAGGTGTGATTCCTCCTCACCTGTGGTACATCAGTCAGGTTGTAGTGACCTACAGTGTGGATTTCCACCGGAATAAATTTCTTGCGTGTGACGCTCTGAAAAAAAGAGCAACATCTGAGCAGTAAAATATTCTGCTGGGCAAACAGACTTACACACGGTCACACTTAGTCACTGAATGTTCAGTGCGTCCCAGAACAAAAGCATGCCTACAAACGCACAGCGCAAAAAGAACAACAACATGTGAAGGTGTGAAGAGAGAAAGTGGATAATAAACAGAAAACACTTATTATGAAAGAGAAGAGAAATGATGAGGACTGGCTCAAAGAAAGACTAGAACTGAAATAGAGCAGAGAGAGAGAGAGAGAACAATAGTCTCCATGTGGGAGGACAAGAATCTTCTATTTTTTCATGCCTAGAAGCAAATACAGCTGAAGAGTCAGAGACGAGGGATGCTGAGTAAACCCGGAGCTGCTTAGTAACTATCACTATTATTCATTCATTCATCTTCTTGTCAGCTAAGTCCCTTCATTAATCCGGGGTCGCCACAGCGGAATGAACCGCCAATTTAGCCTACCCAATTCACCTGTACCGCATGTGTTTGGACTGTGGGGGAAACCAGAGCACCCGGAGGAAATCCACGCGAACGCAGGGAGAACATGCAAACTCCACACAGAAACGCCAACTGAGCCGAGGCTCGAACCAGCAACCCAGCGATCTTCTTGCTGTGAGGCGACAGCACTACCTACTGCGCCACTGCTTCGCCCATCATTACTGTTCATTCATTCATTTTCTTGTCGGCTTAGTCCCTTTATTAATCAGGGGACGCCACAGCGGAATGAACCACCAACTTATCCATCATATGTTTTTTTACGCATTGGATGCCCTTACAGCTGCAACCCAACACTGGGAAACACCCATACACCCTAATTCACACACTATGGACAATTTAGCTTACCCAATTCCCCTATAGCAGTGTTTCTCAACTGGTGGGTCGCGACCCAAAAGTGGGTTGCGGGAACATCTTCAGTGGGTTGCGGAGTGTGTGGTCAAAAAAAGCAACAAAAGTTTAATTTTTAACTTATTTTGACTTTTATTTTGAAATGCGTGCATGACAACCCTACCGTCTGACATGTGAAATTTCATTTAATTATAGCAACAAATATGTCGAAGAGCAAGTACGACCCCGAATATGTAAAGTATGGATTTTTATATTGACGACAAAAAAAAAAAAGACTTAAAGCCTCAGTGTGTCATATGTAGTGAGGTGCTCTCACGAGAGAGCACGTAACCTTCTAAACTAAAACGACGTTTAGAAACCAGACGACATGTTTTATTAACAGACTAGTTTAGTTCATGGTAGCTGAACCTTTCCTTACCCTAACCACTGTTTACAGTATTTGTCGTTTTTACTTTGTAATATTTCTATAATTTGATACATTTTAATAAATGACAGAGATAAAATATAGTTTATTTGTAAGTCTCTGTGAATGCCTTATGATTTATTTGTCATTACTTGTTTATGTTAACAAATAAAAACAAATTAATTATAATTTCAAAAATTGTAGTTCCTAAAAATTTGGGTCACGGCTTGATGACCATGTCAAAATGTGGGTCCCATGGCCAAACCAGTTGAGAACCCCTGCCTTATAGCGCATGTGTTTGGACTTTGGGGAAAACCGCAGCACCCGGAGGAAACACACGCCAACACGGGAAGAACATGAAAACTCCATGACAGAGGGGTTTCGTGGCCCTTTAAGGCGGATGGGCTAAAGCAGCAGAAGAGCACACCGGGTGCCACTTCTGTCCGCTAAGAACAGGAAACTGAGGCTACAATTCACACAGACTCACCAAAACTGGCGATAGGAGATTGGGGAAACGTTGCCTGCTCTGATGAGTCTCCATTTCTGCTGACACATTCGGATGGTCGGGTCAGAATTTGGCATCAACACCATGAAAGCATGGATCCATCCTGCCTTGTGTCAATGCGTCAGGCTGGTGGTGATGGTGTAATGGCGTGGGGGAGATTTTTGTGGCAAACTTTGTGTCCATTAGTACCAATTGAGCATCGTGTCAACGCCAGAGCCTACCTGAGTATTGCTGCTGACCGTGTCCACCCCTTTATGACCACAGTGTACTCATTTTCTGATGGCTACTTCCAGCAGGATAACACACCATGTCATAAAGCGTGAATCATCTCAGACTGGTTTCTTGAACATGACGATGAGTTCACTGTACTCAAATGGCCTCCACAGTCACCAGAACTCAATGCAATAGAGCACCTTTGGCATGTGGTTGAATAGGAGATTTGCATCATGGATGTGCAGCCGACAAATCTGCAGCAACTGTGTGATGCTATCATGTCAATATGGAGGAAAATCTCAGAGGAATATTTCCAGTATCTTGTTGAATCTCTGCCATGAATAATTAAGGCAGTTCTGAAGGCAAAGAAGGTCCAACCCAGTACTAGTAAGGTGTACCTAATAAAGTGGCCAGTGAGTGTTGTTTATGTGTATTTCTTACAATATAGAAAGCTCTTGCTGCACTTGACATGTAGGAAATCGACAATGTGAGAGCTCTTCAACAGGTGTGTGTTAGTGTATGTGTGTGTGTGTGTGTGTGTGTGTGTGTGTGATGCTTTAACCCACCAGTGCTCCACATTTCCATCTCTGTTCCCTTTTTCTGTCCATGCCTTTGGTTTTTGGACGGCGTGATGCTGCTTGAAGCTGAGCTGGAGATCACCATGGAGACCCTGACTCTCTCCAGGAAACACCTAAAAAACGCTTCAAAGCGCTGATGGAGTGCCAATCACCATGGAGACTTCTCAGAACCTGCCTGCCGGACACACACACACACACACACACACACAGTCTGACAACAGTTTTAATGAAAAGTGACATCTTCACAGTTTGGTGGGTAAAAACAGAAGTGCTGATGGTTTTGGTCGGTATTGAAGCTTCAGAGCTAAAATTACTGCTTCCACAACAAACACTTTCACTGCCACAAACACTGCACAACACACACTAGAAGAAAGACAGCTTTATTACTAATGCTCATGCACTTACAGATCGTCTTGTGATCAACAAGAGTGTGTGTGTGTGTGTGTGTGTGTGTGTGTGTGTGTGTGTGTGTGTGTGTGTGTGTGTGTGTGTGTGTGTGTGTGTCTCTGTGTGTGTGTGTGAGTGTGTGTGTGTGTGTGTTCCAAACATGAACGAGTCTTCAAATCCTGTGTGTGTGTGTGCTTTGAGGAAAGTGTTGTAACATAAATCAAGTGTAAAACAATCCAACAGAAAGCCTGTCCATATCTCCAAACCAGATCAGAGAAGATCAAATAACCCATTGAAAATTACAGTCACAACATTTTAACCAAACACGATTGGATAATGTCATGAAAAAAAAAAAAATACAGCTTTATACGTTATTATTTTGCATGGGTTTCCGCTACATTCTTCCATGACAGGGCGGTACACCAACATTTATTTCCACATTACAGCTTCTCCTTCAAAACCTTCAGTTGTTGCTGTTTTTTTCCAGAAAGCAAGTCAGACAAAAACAGAAACCCAAAAAAATAAATAAATAAACAAAGAAATAACAGAGTGAGAATGTGGTAAAATCTGAAAACATGGTAAAAACCAGGCAGTGGCTTTTCTTTTTCTTGATTGCTTTTCAAAACAATGCGATTGGGTTTAGGGGAGGTGGTTGGCACTGGTCTATCAGTGCTTTTTAAAATACTATTGGTTGGGTTTAAGGAAGGGGGAGGGTGGGGGTGTTGGTTGGTGAGTCAGTCAGTAAAGCCTGGTTTATACTTCTGTGTCAAGTGACCGGCGTAACCAACGGCGCATGCAACGCGCGTAGCTGTGCATTTATACTTCTGCGCGCTGTCTCTGTTGGTCTGCATTAACACTTCCGCAACGCTAGTTGGCAGTGAGGTGTAAATGTTCCTCTGTGGCGAGTTTCTTCGCTGCTGTTTTGCTTTTCCTGAACACTTCCTGGATGTACAAGTGGCTCAAACTCGCTCATTTTGAGGCAGGAACCGGCGGACGTGCAACAACTTTAACTATGAGGTAAACACAAAACCAAACTTTCCATCCGGACCTCCTTCACGGGACTCCACACTTGTAAACAATCGCTCCATCAGGCTCGCACCATTCACGCGGCTCTCGGTCCCACCCAGACTCGTCAGCGCTACCAAGCCGACCAATCATAGAGCTTGCGCTACGCGACGTTGCGACGTGTAGTTACATTTTTTGAGAGGTGCACGTCAGCGACGCCGACGGCCACGGCGAAGGGCTATGAGTCAGCGCCGTAGCATACGCCGGCGTTTGACGCAGAAGTATAAATCAGCCTTAAGTCAGCAGCCTCTGGTGGATTTACATGGGAACAGCAGGTGTGAATGGCACTCGCGAGAAAAATTTGAGATCTGAAAAAGCGTACACAGCGGCCTCTGGTGGATTTACAAACAAAAACTCCAAAAATAAAATAAAATGTAGCTCCTGGGGCATATTTGGCGCTCTCCAGAAATGTATATAGGGGTACATATTCAGAATGACCCTGGGTTTGCATTAAAATACTAGAAAAAATAAATAAAAACATTGATATATTTATAAACAATTGTTACTGTAAGTAGAGTTCATTATTTAAATGTATAAATGTTTATTATAAATCATGCAAATGCATTTCAGTAATGAGTAATGAAAAGAAAGTGCTCAAAGTCATCAAACTGTCACGAGTGCTTTGGGAAAAGATCAGACACTGAATGAAACTACATTCACACACACACACACACACACACTAGCAAATAAAAAAACCTTTTCATAGAGGAACACGGAGAAAGTTAGTGAGGTTTTCTGTTTGTGTTTGAGTGTGTGTGTGTGTGTGTGTGCGCGCGCTTATGACCACAGCAGAGCATCAAGTGACAAAAAGCTGGAAAGCTTGTGCCGTGGGAGGGAGAAACAGAGCGAGAGAGAGAGAGAGAGAGAGGGAGCGAGAGCGACAGACACACAGAGAAATGAGAAAAGTGCAGTACTGATAGATCTGATGGAGATGAAGTGAGCAGGTGCATTAACACAACTCTGCTATTAGAAAAGAAAAGAAGAGCCAAGTGTGTGTGTGTGTGTGTGTTTGTGAGAGTGTGTGAGAAAAAGAGGACAAGAGTGTTTTCTCCATCAGGACTGCAGGACTTCTCCAAACTCAAGAGACTTGAGTCAACTTGAGCGTTCGGTCTGGAATATATCAGCTTTTCCAAAATGGCACGAGTGAAAAAGGCAGCAGAAGACGGGATATGACTCTGACATGGACGATGTGTGTGTGTGAGAAAGCCATGGCAGAGCTCTGGATCTCCATCACGAGCTGCACAAGCTCTCATCAAATGCTCCAGTTTGGATAACGCAACCACATTGCCACACACACTTACACACACACAGGGCGAGGACCCCTTACAAAACGCAAGGTAAGCAACATCCCTGTAAAACTTCAGCATTGTTTTGTGATGTGTCGCTGTTCTCTATCATATTACATCACTTGTTACATCACTGCTGTCAATGCCAATTAAAAAGAGCGCTCTAAAAATAATGGGGGAAAGTTGGTAAGGGGTTAAACGCAGCGAGTGCACAGCAGCTGGGGTCTATGAGTTTAGTACTGCATCAAACACACCGAGGCATACAAATAATACTAAGAGTAACATTAAAAACTGATGCAAACTAAATATGCTAATTAATATCAGTTCATTTACTGTTTTAAAATGAAGCACAGAAGCAAAAAATAGATGTTATTGGTCATAATCACTGATTTTTCATTAGGGTTTCATTAGTTAATGCATTTACTAACATGAAGTAATATCAACAATACTTATACAGCATTTATTAATCACAGTTCAACATTAATAAATGCATTATTAATATCCAGATTCATGTTTGATAACATTAGTTAATGCGCTGTGAGTTAACATGAACGAATAACTGTATTTCCATTACTAATGTGAACTAACACAGACAAATACTGTAATAAATGTGTTGTTTTATTTGTCGTTTAATGTTTGTTCTTCTTAGTAAATGCATTAACTAATGCAACCTTATTATAAAGTGTTATTGGTTTTTCTTTTATGCTAAAAATAATTGGATTATTACTTAAAGATCACATTCCCTGAAGGTACTTTGTAAAGTTACCACTGTAAATATATCAAAACTTATATTTTAAGTAGTAATGTACATTAAACATTGCAAAAGAACTTTATTGATAAGACCTATATTAGGTGATTTGTTTATTATATATTAGGTATATTAGGTGACTTGGACAACTGTTAGGGTATATAGGTAATTTTTATTATTTGGCATATTATATTAAGTGATTTGGACACCTTTTAAGGTATATATGTTGATTTTATGTTAGGCATTTGCAATATATTGGGTAAATAGGTGATTTGGACAACTTTAAGGGTATATTAGGTGATATTATGTTAGGTATATTATATATTTGGTGAATTGGACAAATTTTATGCTATATTAGGTGATTTAAAATTAGGTATATTACAGTATATATTAGGTATATTAGGTGATTTGGACAACTTTTAAGGTATATTAGGTGATTTGTATATTACATATTAGGTATATTGGGTGACTTGGACAACTGTTAAGGTATATAAGTAATTATTAATATTTGGCATATTATATTAAGTGATTTGGACAACTTTTATGCTATATTAGGTGATTTTTTAAAATTAGGTATAATATATATTATATGATTTTGGCAACTTTTAAGGTATATTAGGTGATTTTTAAATTAGGTATAATATATATGATTTGGACAACTTTTAAGGTATATTAGGTGATTTCATATTAGGCAAATTGCAGTAAATTTTAGGTATATTAGGTGATTTGGACAACTTTTAAGGTATATTAAGTGATTTTTATATTAGGTAAATTATATATTATATTATTTGGACAGCTTTTAAGCTATATTAGGTGATTTTATATAAGGTATATTACATATATTATGTGATTTGGACAACTTTTAAGGTATATTAGGTGATTTGCTCAGTATTTCGATTTTCTTTGCAGATTTTTAAATAGTTGTGTTTCAGTTTTCATCTTATTTATCTATTCTCAAATCTCAATTTCAAACAAACTGACTCTTATTACAGTCTTTGTGGTCGAAATTAATGAAATAAATCATATAGCTGTAAAAAGCTAACATTATAGCATGTAATATAGACACTAAATAATCAAAATGAATTAATTAAGACCGAATTAATCTCCCAATGCGTAAATGTTTGAATGTGTGTCTGGAATAATCAGTCACTGAACTTCACTAGAACATCGTTTACTGACCTGATTATAATGACCTGATATTGAGCACAAAGTTATGCATACTAAGTGTGTGTGTGTGTGTGTGTGTGTGTGTGTGTGTGTGTGTGTGTGTGTGTGTGTGTGTGTGTGTGTGCTGTAAGAATCGCAGAGACTTTCTGCTGCAATCTGGCCAAAGGAAACATCACTTTATATTTCATTTTAATAATGTAATGGACAGAATGAGCTTGTAAATTCCAACTTTTATTATTTATAACAGTCAAATTCTCCAATAGTGACACATCCTACAGTAGCAGCTCAAACACACACACACACACACATTTACTCTCTCTGTTTGTTCAAACTACTTATTTGAAGCGAGTTGTTCTTGAGTTTTTTGGGGGGCAACTTAATAGTTTTATGTTCAATCCACTTAAATTAGTAAAAACTACTGTACTAGGTTAACTTAATTCCTTCATGTTGTCCCAACACAAATCGATGGTGTGGATTTTACAGTGCATTTTTTACAGTGTACAAGTGATCCAAACAATGGGTTTAGTGAGTGCAAATTACACATTGACAATAGGCAATAGGCTTGGGGGGGGGGGGGGGGGGGGTTCGGTATAACGGTAGTTTGTATATTACAGTAAATAAAATGTATGTATTTATTTAAATTATATCTATTCTACTAATACACCTATTGAACTTTTCAGCGTTTTGAGGGATATTTAGTGTATTCTGACCTACAGTCTCCACTGATTTGCTATTTCAAAGATCTCTGTTTAAACTATACAGACTATGCAGCTAATTTGACGTTACTTTTATACTACATGTAAAAACAAACACCTATTGTACAGGAAAAGTGACTTTGAACACTTATATGTCGATCGAATCTCTAGATTTGCTGATTTTAGACTGTTGAATTCATTTTATCTCGCACAGGCTGATTGGTGTGATTATGCATTCACAATGGTATGAACCGTTATAGGGGTGGTCAGATGTATATTTAAATGATCGATTATTTTAATTATTAATATTATTATTTAAGATGCAGATCAGAGCAAACTATTTCTCACTATTTTAAAGGCTGACCACTCATTTGTGTTGTTTTGTCGCCCTTCAGGGGGGATCAAGTAATTGGGGGAGTCAATCGCCCCCATATATCTCCCTGTAATCCGCACCCTGGGTATAGTAATATGTGAACAATTCTGGGACAATAAATGTATATGTGCAGGTCACAGGGGGCTCCAGTCACATGATCTGCAACTAATTAATAGTTTACATTGAATTGCCTGATTTAAAATGAGCATATACTGTAGTGTCACACCAGATGGTTTTCAATGACGAAACGCATCTAGTGCCTACATATATGTACTGTATGACTGAAGATAAAATAATTGCCATTTAAAAAAATAAGCACTTAATATAATGCAAAATATTCCTGAGATATTTATTAATGATTGTACTAATAATATTAATGATTTTATTGATCGAAGTGTGCTTGAGACAGTCACACCGCAGGACAGATTTGAGATTTTGCCTCTACTTATGTTCATTTTTGTCATGTGCCACAGTGAAAATGAAACGTTCTGTCAACAACACATGTATTCAAAGCCTGAAGACCAAAAGAAAACGTTCTGCATTTACTTATGAATCGTGTGTCCAAATGAGGACATCTCTGAATGTCCCACGAGGAACGTTTGGTCACATTTAACTTTAATTCTGTAAACAAGAAATGGAGTCTCAGACTAACACACACACTTCTGTTTAGGAGCTACGTCTGTGATGATGTTCATATAGAACACAATGAGATATAGTGTGTGTGTGTGTGTGTGTGTGTGTGTGTGTGTGTGTGTGAGAGAGAGAGAGAGAGAGAGAGAGAGAGAGAGAGAGAGAGAGAGAGAGAGAGAGAGAGAGAGAGAAAGAGAGAGAGAAATGTGTGTGTGTGCGTGTGCTGGTTTATGTGGTTTACGAGGACTTTGTAAAATGACATGGGCATGACCCAATGTCGAGATGGTTAATTAGGGCATGCCTTGAGTTCGGTGTTGGGTGTAATTAATTACAAAGTAGCTTAATTACTGTAATTAAATTACTTTTCCACTAATAAAAGGTAGTAAGGGAGCACAACAGTTTTTTGGTCATCTAATTACAGCTACTTGCACAGAAATTCAACAATTCAGATTTAGAGGAAACAAACAAATCAATTCAGAGAAGCAGATTCATTGTATTATTTTATTAAACAAATATATTTAGCAGAATTAGTCTATTTTAAAAGAAAGTTACATTTACATTTAGCTTAGATGCTAATGCTACTTACAATTGAGGCATTCAGCGATTTAACACACACAAGTGCTGATTATACAGAGGAACTGTTAGTGCTCAGAGAATTAACTGCTGTATTAAACAGGGTTGTTTTTTTTTTTTTTTTGGAGAGAGATGTTTTTACAGGTGGTTTGTCAAACCCCCTCACCTGTGTGAGGCACACTGTCATTCATTCAATTATACATTCATTTTCTTGTCGGCTTAGTCCCTTTATTAATCAGGGGTCGCCACAGCGGAATGAACCGCCAACTTATCCAGCAAGTTTTTACGTAGCGGATGCACTTGCAGCCGAAACCCATCTCTGGGAAACATCCACACTCACATTCACACACTACGGACAATTTAGCCTACCCAATTCACCTGTACCGCATGTGTTTGGACTGTGGGGGAAACCGGAGCACCTGGAGGAAACCCACGCAAAGGCAGGGAGAACATGCAAACTCCACACAGAAACGCCAACTGAGCCGAGGTTCGAACCAGCAACCTTCTTGCTGTGAGGCGACAGCACTACCTACTGCGCCACTGCCTCGCCTTTTATAGAGATATGGAGTGATTATAATAAAGCGTCTTGTGCAAATGTGGGTCAAAGTGTCAGAGAAATGAAAGAGAGTTCTTTCTATAGGTGGTTTGTCAAGCCCACTCGCCTGTGTAAGTCACACTCCCAATTGCAAAATGACAAAAAAAAAAAAGATTTTTATCAAGAGGATTATAAGATATTTACCAAGAAAATAAATCCAGTAACTAATTGACGCCAATATATGGCACGTATAAAATATTGTGTCATGACTTTGTAACGTTTTATGTTTCAGTACACATAATGTTTACCTTTTCTTAAGTATTTCATTTT